TGTAATGCAGAGTCTAGCATGCACAGTACAGGTCACCTTTCGTTAGTACTGTCAGACCAGTAATGTTAACGAACATTTAATTCTAACGATCTAACGAATTAAAAAAATTGTTAACATTTGAAGTCGTTATGTGCAAAAACATATGTACATGGTCAAGTACAGCCATTTGCTGGTTTTGAGACAGAATTCGGCGGAATTTCACCTCGCTAACCCACAAAAATCCGTAGATCGTTAAGTTTAATTGACGTTAAAATATTTGGTGTTACAGCACGACACCAGGTACAAAACAAACCTCATCAGTACACAAACGATCTAAACTTCCCTGACGCCGGAAATACATTTAACAGTCGTACATGCAAGTTCGGATAGTACAGTAGATAATACTGGTTATAAGACAAAAAAAAGGTTGAAACCCCCGGGGTTGTCTATACTAGCGAGGGTAGACCTGTAGTCCAGAAGCTTTGGCACTTACTTGACAGGGTCCTGGACCTCTTCCTGGCTGGGATCAAACTTCTTGACATCAAACGCCATGACCACACCACCAGGAATGGGAATAGTAGTGATGAGGTCAGCCTTGCGCCGCATTCGGTGCATATTCGTCTGGAATCGGAGCACCATGAAGCGGCAGGTCTGTGGGAAGAGCCGCGACAGCAGAACGCCACAAAGGATCAACCATTTGCATGTACGGTCAAGTGAAACTCGGATGGAGAGCCAAGGATTAAATTGAAAAAAGAAAGAAAGAAAGGACAACGTGTCACATTGTGGCCCTTTCTTTTCTAAATGTACGGTCAACCTGTGTGAATGAGGACAATGCAGGGGCGGCGTCGCACACGCTACGGTCACGACGGTACTGGCCATGTACCACTTCTTGACCCAGCCACCCGGTGAATGAATAAAATGCATTGATTTGGGGTTTAAAGTTCAACAAGTTTCAGCAGAGCCCCTCCACCACGAGTAACTTGCGTGCTTCAGATGGCTGACCGTACCACGCTAAAATACCTTCCGATGCCCCTGACAATTGATCATGCATGAAACACAGCGTGGTTATTCGCGAGTTTTTGCTGCTCGTGAGGTTGACAGTATGCAACTACGCATGGTCTCTGGGTCTTGTGTTCGTTGAAAGTATGCAACTATGCATGGTCCCTGGGTCTTGTGTTCGTTGAAAGCATGTAGTGTGTATGGTCCCCGGGTCTTGTTATTTAAAGTCTACAAATTTTTGGTACGCTTAAATTCCCGCCTCCCGGGGCTAAAAAAAGCACATTTCGGCAGCGTCAAAATTTCAGCCACACACACATACACCCCCTCCCCCCCCCCCCCCCCCCACACACACACACACACTTGTACTTGTTGCTCACTGCCAAAACTGGTCACGTGGGTCTCCCCGGGAGAGGGGAGAGAGACTCAAAAGGAATCTTGGAAAGATGACTCAATTGGCTATTGAACCGCCCAACGGCCGACACAAACTGAAATCCCCAAAACTCTGGGTGGACTTGAAAATGATCCCACTCATGGGCTCACCACACCTCAGTAAGCGGGTGAGGACAAGGTGCAGAAAAAGGATTGACGGCATCAGGGTATCCGTCCTGGGATCCAACTGCAGGTACCCCTGTCCCCAGTGAAGGTAATACTTGCTACTAGTGTGGGTGGCTAAATCAGAGTGGATCTGATATAAGCTTCACGAGCACCATGGACTACACAAGAGTTAATCTAGACAGAAGCAGTCCATGGTTAACAGGCATGTATACTTCAAATAAAAAGTATATGAACCCGGGAACCAACAAAGGTGACAGGTACACACACACACACACACACACACACACACACACACACACACACACACACACAAACACACACACACACACACACACGATGCGTACTTACAGCTTCTTGGAAGTGATGCAAGTCTACCGAACACTGCAATGCTTTCTGATAAGCATGAGAGACGATGAAAAGGCCTACATACGTTCGCATAGGGTGAGAACAAGGAAATGAGAATCAAATAGTGCATGTGCGTAGGGGGTATTCTTGTTTGTGTATGTGTGCATGTGTGCATGTGTGTGTGTGTGTGTGTGTGTGTGTGTGTGTGTGTGTGTGTGTGTGTGTGTGTGTGTGTGTGTGTGTGTGTGTGTGTGTGGGTGTGCGTGTGTGTGCGTGTGTGCCAGCTAGTTCGGTTGGTGGGTACCCTTATGCCTGATTGTGTAGGGTCTGTTGCCAACGGGCTCGGCTGCTTGAAGGTGTAATGTACCTACCACCTTTGTTGGTTCCAGGGTTCATATACTTTTTATTTGAAGTATACATACCTGTTAACCATGGACTGCTTCTGGCTAGATTAACTCTTGTGGAATCAATGGTGCTCGTGAAGCTTATGTCAGATCCACTCTGATTTAGCCACCCACACTAGTAGCAAGTATTACCTTCACTGGGGTCAGGGGTAACTGCAGTTGGATCCCTGGACGGATACCCTGATGCTGTCAATCCCTTTTCTGCACCTTGTCCTCAAGCACTTACTGAGGTGTGGTGAGCCCATAAGTGGGATCATTTTCAAGTCCACCCAGAGTTTTGGGGATTTCAGGGGGTGTCGGCCGTTGGTCGGGCAGTTCAATAGCCAATTGAGTCATCTTTCCAAGATTCCTTTTGAGTTTCTCTTCTCCCCTCTCCCAGGGAGACCCACGTGACCAGTTTTGGCAGTGAGCAACAAGTACAAGCACAAGTGTGTGTGTGTGTGTGTGTGTGTGTGTGTGTGTGTGTGTGTGTGTGTGTGTGTGTGTGTGTGTAAAACAGGGATTCACTGGCCGGAAAAAACCCACTTCAATCAGCTGTGTGGGGTAGACCAGGCTGAATAGTGGCGGTCAATTCATCAGCCTCGCAAGCTGTTGAATGGTGTAATCCCAGACAAGGCTATGTCTAGAATAGCTGTTCGCTATCATCGCTTCCGCGATGAGCAGGTCTGAGGTGTGTGTGTGTGCGTGTGTGTGTATGCGCGCGTTTGCGTGTGTGTGTGTGTGTGTGTGTGTGTGTGTGTGTGTGTGTGTCAACTAGTGTGCTTGAAGGTGTAATGTTGTACATGTCACCTTTGTTGGTTCCAGGGTTCACACACTTTCTATTTGAAGTATACATACCTGTTAACCATGGACTACATCTGGTTATAGTAAGTCTCGTGTAATCAATAGGGCTTCGAAGTGACGATGTAACGCTGCATACTTGACAACGCATGCCAACGAAATTTCCGGGTACAAACAAACTTTAGCGTCCCCTTGCTCTTCACAGTTTTGCAGTAGTCAAAGAGGTTTCTGGCGCACCCTTGGTTACGTATCCTTGGTTACGTATCCTTGGTTACGTATCCTTGGTTACATACTCTTGGTTACGTACCCTTGGTTACAGACGTTTGCTTACGTACATGTACCCTTCGCAATGCACAAAAACGCCCTTAACCCTTTGCATGCTGAGCCCCTTTTCACCAGTCTACTGGCTTTTCAGCGCACTGATTCTCTTGGGTGGATTCGCGCTCACAGCTCTGAACGGAATTTATTCTCATTTCACTCCACCTTGATGGATTTTCATCATCCTGGGCTCGTTGGAAAGATCAGGATCAAGCGAATCCATCCTGGCAGCTCTCAGTTCCATATACACATCAGGGCCACTTCCACCTCCTCTCCAAACTACTCCACCGTGCCTCGGAACGGCACACCAACTCAATTTCACATTCTTGTTTGGCTTCTTGTCCAAATTCAACCGATTTTTACGATTCAAACTGCACTGCAAAGCTGAGATCCAAGCGCTTCATTTGATGTCCATCACACACGCGTTGTGCCAAAGGAAAATCCCCCGGCACGCTCCAAAAAACTGTGAAGGTCATGAACAAAAAAATTCGTGTCGGCTCTGGGATGTGATTTCCGTGTTCATTTCGTCGCCGCTCGGTGAATCTTTATCCTATCGCGAAGAACTTTATATCCCCGGAAAGATGAGGTCAAGACCTTTCCAATGGTGTATTGATTGTCGCGGTGCATGCATGTTTGATAGAGTTACGGCAGCTTGTACACTGATCTATGCACTGCCATGTCTCGCGCGAATTTATTTGCGAGTTAACTCGTACGTAGTGGATCAGCACACTTCAAAAGCGCGGGTTAATAGTACTTAATACGGGCTTTAGTTTTACGGTAGTGCAGTTTCAACGTGCAGACGGCAATGGTCTGAACATTACCTTCATCCTTCAAGATGGTTGGATAGGTCTCCGACATTTTCACAGCAGCTTCAGACGGCATGACGACAATGTCAAATCTAGAGGCATACTTGCGCAAGAAGTCGAGCCTGCAGATGTGACAGAAACACACACAGAAACACCAATACAAGGCCAGGTAAAGTCTCGTGGCGTGTAGCAAGGGAACACAATGACAGTGATAGTGTGTGCAACGCCAGTCTACCGGCGTGACGTGTGCGATGGCAGGACTTCACATCACGCGACGAGCGTGTCACAGAAACTACACGTGCAAAGTCGCTGCTAACTTGTTGAAAACTCTGACGTGCTCGAGAAAATACCCATGCCTCGGCGCGTTGCGTGATTTAGAAATAATGGCTTGAAATACCGTCAGAAGTGGAGTTGTTTCCTGCAATACTCTGTTCTTCGCTACCGTGTTATGCGGAAGAAACTCCCGTTCGGATTCGCGAAATAAAACAAACAATATCATAAATTATTCATAATCGTCACTGCACTACTAGCTAACTCGTAGCTAGTGCCCAAAGAGAATTCGAAACCAGGAAACTGGACATAGTTTACCGTAGCAGAGCGCTCTTCGCACTATGGTGTGAGATGTACTTTCGTACAGGAGGGGTGACAGTGCATGGGGTCAGTGCGTACAGGCCAGCCGATCTTGGAAAAACGAGGTGGGTGTTTGCAACGGACTTTACGGTAGTAGTGTGTGTGTGCGTGTGCGCGCGCGTGTGTGTGTGTCGAGAATTTTAGGTCTCTGCACAAAGGCATGCATAAATCGGCCGCGAAGAAGAAGAACAATGATGCAGTAACACGACGTACATGTTAGTCGGCAAAAACTCAACTGAACACACTGCTGCATGGCAAGCATGCCCGTGCTGTACTAGACCAGTAGGTCTACTTACAGTGCGTTTCAAAAATATTAGGGCTGAAACAAGTATACCGAATACTCGAGTACTCGCTCGGTTTTTTCAAAAATAATCGTACTCGGAATAAATCAGAGTACTCGTTCATACATGATACATGCATTTACCACAGATATCTGCAGTTTCAGACCAGCAGTCGGTAGATATTGATGTGCAGACTGTGTGGTGAACATTTGTTCACGAGTAGAGAGAGCCCAAACGACCCACCAACCAATATACCCGAGAAAAATGACTGCTACTCGCTTCGATCAGGGTTGTATCATGTGATTTTAAGGCCCTTGGTGTGCAATTTTTAGGTGATGAAGAATACTCGAATACTCGAATATTCGATCGGAGAAAATCAGAGTTCTCGAACTCGGCATCTCAGTGCCAACTTTCACCCCTAAAAAATATAGACACGTGATTTCAAAAAACTGTTAGGCCAGCATCTATGCCACATAAAACCTGTGATCACTTTGCGCATTAAAAATTTCGAAACGGGGCGTTTGCTATCCGATCGCTTAAATGAGAGTAATTGGGGGAAGGACCTGAGCAATACTCCGACAAACATTCTCAAAAAGCTCCAGCCAAATTTGAAATAGTTCAAAAAATACCATGCGTCTATATTTTTGAAATAGACTGAAGTACAAGTCGGGGATAGCATGTTTGCTACATCATGTTGCCTATTCAGTATCGGTACCTCTAGCTACACAACACGTAGCTCTGGGGAAGGGACGTGAAACAACACGCATGCACAACACTCAGCGCTTGAACAAAGTGTCCCCCCCCCCCCCCCACACACACGTGTGCACGCACGCACACACACGCACACGCACACACCAGAAGCACATTGATAAGACAAAACCAGCTACCTTTCTGGGAGCAGAGTAACACTGTTTTCGTCAACGGTGACGGGAGCGTTTACTAAATTGTCTTGCAACAGAGACAGATGCACTGTGCGCGGACGTGCTACAATGATATTAGCTTTCAGCTGTAGCTCGCTTGCAAAGGAAAGCGCTGATACACCAAAGTCCTTATATTGGTCGTAGATCTCCAGAGTCTGAACGCACGGGACAAAACATGTACAGACATATACACAGGGATACAGGAATGAACGTAAACGCCCACCCACACATGAATATGCACACACACACACACACACACACACACACACACACACACACACACTGTCCTGTCCTGTCCTGTAGAGTCACTGCCGCAAAAGGGTCACGTGATCCCATCACTGGGAAACTTGAGAAGAGAGAGAGAGAGGACACGACGCTCGATGACGCTCCAGGTGCACGGGTAGTCGCATCCGCTTGCCGCATATGCACACGTGCTGGAAGGCTGAGCGCTCCTCTGCTGTTGGTCTATGCGCCACCCTTGAACAGCGATGCCTTCCCCGTCCCCGGACACCGCGAAAGCAGCGACCACACCTGTCACAATGCGCGGCACAACATCCCTCCGCCGGTGCCGACGCTCCGGTAGTTCCAGGTGGCACTGCGGCATCCACCGTTGAGGCACACACATGCCGGACCAAGCCACCGCGGCTTCTCAGCCACCGCCCACACCGCCCGCACTGACTGGCGCCCCGCTGCTCAGACACAGGCCGCGCACGCTCCTCCAGACACTTATGCCGAGCCATGTCTCCTTTCCGTGCAAAATCCCGTCCGCATACCGTACATACCACTCGGGGCGGAGGCTCAGGCACATTGTCAGGCTCTTGGTAGGTGCTGTGCCACTCCGCGCGAGACTCACATGCAACATCATACCATGATGCCTCCACGCCACGGGCACGTAGATCTCGGACAGCACAGTCCTTCCATCTGCGGCGTGGGCCATGTGCTGGGCGACGCTGCAAGAAGGAGCCAAACAGTACCTGTTTTGGGATGCGGTTGTCCGGCATCCGCGCCACATGCCCCAACCACTCCAACCGCCGATGTGCAATTTTGTCTTTAATCGTCTCGGAGTCTCCCCAGCGCACCAGCAGCTCTTCGTTGGTGATGTGTTCGTCCCACATCCGGCTTCGAGAGACCCCGAGGATGGATCGGATGCACCTCATGCTGAAGGTTGAGAGCTTCTGCAGGTCATGCTGAAGGGGCGTCCAGCACTCAGAGCCATACAACAGCAGGGACAGAACGCAAGCATTGAATACGCACCGCTTGGTGTGCATCAGCAGATGTGGATTGGAGAATACAGACCTCCGAAGAGCACCGCAGGCCCTGGAGGCTTGGGCAATCCTTGCGGCGATGTCCCGGGACGAACGGCAACCGCTGTCCACTACAGAACCGAGGTATTTGAAATGCGGTACGCATTCCACCTCCGCTTGACCAAGTTGGAGGGGAGCGCGGTCAGTAAGCGTGATGCCGGGGCCAACAACTACAAACTGAGTCTTCGTTGCACTGATGGTCAAGCCGAATCCTGACGCCACCTCGTGAAGACAGCACAATGCTGCCCACACACACACACACACACACACACACACACACACACACACACACACACACATGCACACACACACACATGTGCACACACACGCTGTCACACGTGCACACCCACGCATGTGCACACACACACACATACACACACACACACACGCATGTGCACACACACGCACACACACACACACACGCACACACACACACACACACACACACACACACACACACACACACACACACACACACACACACACTTGTACTTGTTGCTCACTGCCAAAACTGGTCACGTGGGTCTCCCCGGGAGAGGGGAGAGAGACTCAAAAGGAATCTTGGAAAGATGACTCAATTGGCTATTGAACCGCCCAACGGCCGACACCCTCTGAAATCCCCAAAACTCTGGGTGGACTTGAAAATGATCCCACTTATGGGCTCACCACACTTCAGTAAGTGGGTGAGGACAAGGTGCAGAAAAAAGGATTGACGGCATCAGGATATCCGTCCTGGGATCCAACTGCAGTTACCCCTGCCCCCAGTGAAGGTAATACTTGCTACTAGTGTGGGTGGCTAAATCAGAGTGGATCTGATATAAGCTTCACTAGCACCGTTGATTACACAAGAGTTAATCTAGCCAGAAGCAGTCCATGGTTAACAGGTATGTATACTTCAAATAAAAAGTATATGAACCCTGGAACCAACAAAGGTAGCAGGTACAACATTACACCTTCAAGTAGCCGAGCCCGTTGGCAACATACCCAACCAGGGTTTGCACAGGAAAATCACCGCCAAATTCAATAACTTTTCCAAAACTTTTTACAAACTTTTCCATGACGAAGCAACGGTCGACGAGACAGCGGCTGAGGAAACATTGCCTCCTAACAGAGTACTGACGGACGGGGTTCTACGAGCAGCAGCTATGCCGGCCTTGTGTCCGACTCCTTGCATATGGCTACGCAATGCGCGCTGGCCCATGTCACCTATAATTATCAACACTCTTTTTACATATCTTACAAATTGCTTTCTCTCTCGAAAGCGGGTCAACAGCAATCCAGTCTCCAAAATCGTCGTGCGTGAGCCACGCATAACTAAATTTACACTTGCCTGGCATATTGCCTGCTTCACGACAAATCGCATTTCAAAACACAAAGGAACACGTATAATCTAAAAGAGCCTACTGCTACTAAGAGCCTACTACAAAGAAACTGAAACCGCCAGTCAGTAAGGCAAACCACGACCTCACAGCAGCACAACTGTCGAACTGACTGCTGAAAAGAGAAAGAAAGACTTACTTTGAACAGGAAGTATAACTAAAAATGTTCGACATCCGCGCCGCACACACCGCGCGCGGGCTGTATCAGGCCAGTCTACCCGCCATAGCCAACACGGCAACTGCCACTCAACGATCATACACGGCTAGCACAGTACAGACTGCAGACTGCTGATGCGACAGTTGGAAACTTCGTTTTCCAAAACTTTTCAAAACTCCCACCCAATATCATAGTTTTCAAGGTCCTTGAAAACGTGTTTCACAAACTCATACATTTTCCACACTTTCCATAACCTGTGCGAACCCTGCCCAACACACACGCACGCACGCACGCACACACACACACACACACACACACACACACACACACACACACACACACACACACACACACACACACACACACACAGACAAACAGACAGAAGTAACATGCTGATGAGCAGGCAGCTATATACTGCTAGTGGATGGGAAGAATGCCTAAGAGAACCACAGCAGCAATGCCTTACGGTATCAGCGGAGTATGGAGAGACCTGATCTGGAATAACACAGAGAAGAAAAGAGAGACACGCATCAAAACGAAAGACATGCACAGTGAAATGAAAAGAATTTCCATAAAGTCAATTAAATTACTTTCTTGGAGACAGGAAGCTTATCAGGGAACGAAAAACTACAAATCTCAAGCTATTCATCACTCATCATCATCATCATCATCATCATCATCATCATCATTTGAACAGCCTCTTGTACGGGCAAGCAAAAACGCAATACATCAAAATTCAATTAGAATGAAAAAAGAGAGGAAAATGAACACAAAGTGGACTGGAACTCAATATAAAAAGGAACGCAAAGTGCAGTTGAACACAATGAGCATGGGGCCACCAATCGGAGAAGACCTCATAATAGAATAAAAGAACAAACATAAAAAACTTAAGACACCGTACACATCAACGTGCTCTAAGGGTATGGCAGCTTGTTAAAAAGCTGTGGCGCTGGCGCTTGTATGATGCCCGCGGACCACGTATGCAAGTAATACACCAGCGGAGCAAACACAGCGACAATACAGATCGAAGTTGTCCGATGACTACAGAATAATGTAACTCAGGATTTTTCTCAACAAGCGATACCAAATTTTTCAAAAAACGAGACCCCTCTGGCCCACACATGCCTGAAGTTGAAAAAACTAAACGGTGTGAGGGCCTGGTCAGACTGCGGCAAAATCGAAATAATCCTAGGATTATAATCCGAATCTCCATAGTAACTTGTTTGGCTGGGGAAAGTTATGTTTCTCCTCTCTTCCTTCTTGTGAGGAAGAGCTTAGTATTTATTGAATGGACTCGGGATAATGAGCGACGATAAATGGCAAGACGTCCGACGGACCGGGAGCGGCACACGCCGGCCCAGTCGTCGGAGCGAGGAACAGCTAAGACAGTCGGCTCAGGAAAATTCAAAAAATATTCTTCAAACCTCAACATTGCCACGTTCAACGTCCTCGGCCTGAAGTCGTCACTGAAGAGAACTACTCTGACCAGAGACTTGGTGAGGTGCGCAGTGGACGTGTGCTCTCTACAGGAAACAAAACTTACAGACGGACTAGACGAATCCATCCTTGGGCACCGTCTCATCTGTTTTCCAACGAAAAACTATCACTATGGCCTCGGATTCGCTGTCTCGAGTCGCCTTGAAATTCATCGGTACTGAGCAGTATCGGACCGTGTCGCAGTCCTTACGCTCTCCAGTAGCCCCTCAGCTCTAGTGTCTGTACACCAGGGACAGAACGTCGCCTCGGGAAGGCCATTCCTGGCTATTATCAACGCATACGCACCGACATCGACGAGATGTGCGTCAAATGTCGCTGAGATGGATAGATTCTACGACGACTTGGCTACGGCGTACTCAGAGGTCAGCAGCAGTGCCCTACTGTACATTTGTGGCGATTTCAACGCGAAAGTTGGCAGTGGCCGCAGAAATGCGAACTGTTTGGGATCCCATGGTAGAGGCAGACGAAATTTCACTGGGGACACATTGGTCAACTTCTGTGAAACTAGTCACCTCTACCTGGCCAATACTACGTTCAAGCATCCTGCCAGGAATATTACGACCTGGACTGGCTGGAGGAGAGACAAAGCAGCAGACCAAAAAGTCCCTGTGTACAATCAGATTGATTATATTATTTGCCGTGAGTCACAGAAACGTCTCTTGAAGAACTGCAGGAGCTACGGCGGGATGGAGACTTACTCAGATCATAGAATTGTAATCGCAAACCTAGAGATACCGAGAGTGTATGGTGTCTTGGGCAGCCAGACGCGCAAACGGAGCATAAGCAGACAGCCCAGTGTCAATACACTACGCCTGGCATCAGAGAAAGAAGTACAGCTCGCCTATGCAAAGAAGCTATCAGATTCACTTGCAGAGCCTACTGGGGAGGCAGGAGACGAAGTGCAGGAGAACTGGAACGCTATTCAAAAACACATTCACAGTGCAGCAGCAACAACTGTGGGATACGCCAAGAGAAAAAAACACCAAAAATACGATGATGCAGAACTGGAAGCCCTATCGAAGGAGCAGAGGCAGCTGCGCATACAGCTGACATTTGTCACTGACGACAAGAAGAGAAAATCCCTCAAAACCAAACGTAACCGAATTCAACACAAGGTGCGGAAGCTGTGCCTAGACCGTGCCGAGGCAGAACTGGACCTGAAGGCTAAGGAAGTAGAGAAACTGAAGAACGGCGCACAAATGTTCAAGGCAGTTGCCACAATGCGGAGGCGGCCGGCAGTGACTCCGGTAGTGCAGGATCAACACGGCAAACTGGTCGGCAGAGCCCAGGAAGCAGTAGCTATCGTTAAAGAACATTTCCAACGCCAGTTTACAAATGAACATGCTTCAGCCATAGAGCCCTTCATCGGTGAGCCTAGACCACTCGATCGGCCTATCACAACTTCCGAGCTCCGAGACAGCTTCAAGAAACTAAACAATGGTAGAGCATGTGGCCCGGATGGCATTGCGGCTGAACTCCTGAAATATGGTGGTGAGAAACTCCTGGAGGCTATGATCCGCCTGTTGAACAGGGTCTTCGAAACCCATCAGCCATTAGACCTCGGCCTAGGCACACTGATTGCTCTTCAAAAACCTAACAAAAAGAAGGGACCACCTGGAAATCTTCGTCCCATAGTGCTTCTAACTGCCCTCAGGAAGGCGGTGTCACTTCTCACCCTGAAACGCATCTCACATAGAGTTAATACCTTTCTCAGTGACAACCAGAGTGGATTCCGGGCAGGACGATCAACGGCAGATGCAGTTTGGTGTCACAAATGGCTTGCAGCAACAGTCCAGAAATATAAGTATGTCATTGAAATTCTCGGTATAGACATGTCAAAAGCATTTGACACCATTCAGCGACACCGACTTCTGGCCGTTTTGGAGACCTTCCTACTTCCGGATGATCTACGTTTGGTAAGGTTGCTCATCGCTAACACGACGCTGAGTGTTCGACTTGGAGGTTTTGAGTCTACCCCTTTCCACACAACAATTGGCACTCCACAGGGAGACTCACTTTCCCCTGTGCTATTTGTAGTCTATCTAGACGCAGCACTGCGCGATGTCCTCGCCACAGCCCCACCTCGCTCTCCTGCAGATAGCACTCTACCAATCGACATCATCTACGCGGACGACACCGATTTTGTCAGTACCTCATCTGCTTGGCTAGCTCAGCTTGAACCTCTTGCCGCAACAGTTCTCGGGCAATGGAATCTCCATGTCAACGCAGAGAAGACCGAACACACAAAACTCACCCGGCAGCAGGATCGAGTCTCGGAAGAATGGAGAATGACGAAAAAGTTAGGTTCTCTGATTGGTGACGACGAAGACATCACCAGGCAAAAACAGCTCGCCACAGCGTCCTACAGAGCAATGTACAGTCTTTGGAAGCGGAGAACATTAGTGCGTGAGGAATTGAGACTGAGGCTGTACAACGCATTCGTGATGCCAGTCTTACTGTACAACAGCGGCACCTGGGCACCCACTTCAGTGGCCGAGGCCCAACTGGATTCGTTTCACCGCAGGCAGTTGCGTAGTCTCATCGGTATTAGGTGGCCACAAACAATAAGCAATGCTGCTCTCTACAAGAGGTGCAAAGCACAACCGATATCTAACTTTGTTCGCCTAGCCAGATGGAGACTCTTTGGCCATATACTGCGCATGCCTGACGGATGTCCTGCTGTGGCGGCTATGATTAACTATTACCAGGTGAAGGAAACAGTGTGGAGGGGACGGCCAAGAACGACTCTGCCTATCGTGCTATCCCGTGACCTGCAGAGAGTGGGGCGGAGGGGACTCAAGACGTTGTCTGATCTCCTCTCCCTCCGGGAGATTGCACAGGGCAGAGGGGAGTGGAAGGACCTTTGCAAGGACGTCTGCAAGTCCAATAGTGGCGTCTACGACTAAAACCAAATAATATTGCTCCGAAATATCACAGTACTGCTTTTCATAACTGCTGCAGTAATAATAATTAACATCTTTTTTAAATACCAACAAAATTCCTCTCTTAACGTAGTGCGTGGATCTGCATCCACCTACCACCATTTTACTGGATTATTCTCAAAACGGAGCCGACAATGCCCTTTATCCTGTGTCTGCGTCCTCTGTTCAATCTGAGCAATGCTGTCATGTGCCCCTTAGCAGGTACGTCTTGTATTGTATTTCTATTTCTGTTGTCGTTGCTCTTTTTATTTTTATTTTTTCATTTCCCAATTCCCAAGTCCATTCAGCACGTGCGAATTTGTGGGCGGTTTACCACCGCTGACATTGACGCGTAAGTGCATAATAAAAAATATAAAATAGTAACTTGCTGCCACAGCGGCAAAAGTGAGAGTTGCCGCTCCAAAAAAAAGCAAGAACGGACCACGCTTTTCCGCTCCAAACAGGATTTGACGCTGATACTCCATTGCCGCTGATAAATCACTGATTTTTTCATCTCGATATCAAGGAGCTAATTGGCCACGGACAACAACAAAACTCATAAGGATGGTTGCAAGGATTGCACTGAAGCCTTCAAGGTGTTGGCGATCCACAAGGTGAAGGAATTAGACGTCGTTCGTGGAGATTACCACTTGACGCTCGAAATGAAGTTTGAATTTTCATTCTCCCCACATGTGTAGTGCGATCGCGATTCTAATTCTGGACGCTGTTCTTTTTTCGTCAGGCAATCAAAATTTGCCGCAGTCTGACCAGGCCCTAAATGATGCTCTCTCTACAATATTTACACGGGCACAATATTCTCTCTTTTTGGCCTGTTCATGGGTCTTCAGCTGACGCAGGACGTCTGTACGCAACAGCAGGCTTGCCTTTGGGTGCGTTCCCCGTACATCAAAAAAGGCATCCTGCTGCCGGGTCCAGAAGCCCACGCCCTGATATCCAGATGCGCCTACAAAGACCGGTTCGCAGTTCGATGTGGTAGTGTTTCTCCTTCGAACGGCTTGAGAAGAGGCTCCTTCTCCACATCTGGCAGTATTTCCCGAATAGCTTCCGACAGAATAGCGAGGTTAAGTTTCACGTAAAAGTCTTACGTCCGTGAACTTTTACGTCAAAAAGTGAAAAAACTCACGTAAAATTTGACGTGTTTTACGTGAGTTGACTGTCCCGCACGTAAGTTCATGACGTGAGTTTTTGGAGGTTTCGCTTGGTTATTCCGACCGAATTTGTGTGAGTTTCCGGAATTTTATCGAGTTTTATAGAGTTTGTTGGAAGATTTGATATTTGTGCGAACTAAACCCGAATCCTGCCAGTCAAAATTTCACGTCACGTCGCACGTGTAACTTAACCTCAAAAAATTACACATAACGTGAGATTTGCACCGCGTTTTGAAAAAGGGCAAAAAACGTGTAACTTAACCTCTCTAATGTCCCGGATCTCATTATGTCTTGCAATTGGATAACCAAGCGCCGGGCAACTCATGGCATGATCTATTGTCATGTCTTGCCCACAAATACAGGAACTGGACACTCCCTCCAATGACAAACCATATCGAATACAAACAGCATCACGAAAATCCGATTTGTTCAGGATTGAACTGGGCGTTACGAAAGACGGCATGGAGGATAACCAATTTGAAACACCCTTCTCACCAGCCGTTTCCAACAAAAGCTGTTGCGCCGGCGGTAGCATGGGCGCAACTGTGCCACTCTTTCTTCCTGTTTCTTTTGCCGCTGCTGACGTGACTGACGGGCCCGCTGTCGAACAGCCCCGATGGCATCAAGGATAACATCGGTGCCCGAGCCTCCGGCTGCGTCATCCAGGCTAGTGATCCCCGGCCGTGGTACAGGATGTAGGCGGAAATCGTCGGGTAGAGATGACGATAGAATCAACCCGGGAGAATGGCCCCGAACGTTGTGAGGCTGTTCCGCGCCCGCAACGGTCAGAGGCTGTGTGGAGGACTGGTATGGAGCAACAGGCGCCTCTTCTGGAGGCGTTAATGTATCCGGCGGCAGGCGCGTACGCAGGGTCACCTCTAGGGGGATTTCCAACTGAATCCCAAACAATGAGTTTTAACCCTTTCTAAAGAGCCCTAGGAAATTTTGAAAATTATACATTTTTTCGTGGTCTTTTGATCATAACTTCGGTTCTACTCACTCAATCTTCATTATCTTGGGCGTCCTGGTAATGGAAAGGTACCCGGGAGAGAATGAGGTCGACCATGATAGCCAGGACACAGTACAGTCATGTACATATCCAGCGATAGCGGTCGAGTGCAGCGACGGTTCGAAAAATGCCCCAAAGGCCCAAACGCGTCCTGCTCCAGCGATTTCGTTTTTCTTGATCGCAGAGTTTCGATTTTTTGCTGTGTACTCTTGAAAATATCACAAGTGAAGCCCCTGGAAATTTGAGCAAGTCAGGGTGACGAAAAGTCTCAAATTCTCGATACTCAAGTCGCTTTGCGCGATTTTGAAATTGCCGAGATCGCGGCTCAACTTACGAATGATTTATCTCAAGAGACATAGCTCGCAGCGCGTCGCAAATTGTTTCAACCGACAGCTGAGAGTTTTCTATTCGACCTGGATATCTGGATCGTTGGATTTGAGCGAGATTTGACTGAGTTACGATCTGTTGAAGGTTTCGCATTCTTGCCAGATCGATCGTGCGCCCTACCAAAAAAGCCCAAAAACATTGCTCGTTTGGAACATTTGGGGGGTTTCCAGGCAACGGGAACCCCCCCCTGCGTACGCGCCTGGGCGGTACAATAAGGCGCACGAACGGCTCAGTGATCTTTGTTGAGGCCGCATACTCCACAGGCGCCAGGGAAGGCAAAATCGGCACAGCAAGACCACCACATCTCGTGGGCAGAGACATAAGCTCCCGCTGTGAGCTATTGGGGTCAAACTCATGGCCCAGGAGAGCTGGCAAAAGCTCCGAATCGATGACCTGGCCAGGTACCTGAAGTACCTCAGGGCTGTGCTGTGTGGCACGGAGATGGTATTGCCACCGGCCAGCCAGGCCCTTGGTTAACACCACGTATGCCGCGTGTGGCTGGGTCCTCGCCAGGCCAGCCAGAGACTTGAGTTCCTGTGCCCAGCAACGCGACTTTGCGGATATACATTCTTCCGTATACCTGGCCGATCCCAGCACACCGCCCAAGTAACGGGCTCCTTCGGCTGATATAGTCACCCCGGTACCGTCAAACACCTCTCTCGCTCGATCGAGGTGCTCTGGCTTCGTAACGAGGATGGTCTTGGCTGCATTGGCGTGGTAACCATATCCGCGGCCAGCCTGTTCGAGAGTATCCCAGTACCGTCGGAGCTGCAGGAGCCTATCCACCGCCGCATCGTCATCTGCATACCAGGACTGGACGACCGACGGGCAAGCCGCTTCCAGGTGCTTCACCAGAGGTGCTGTGGCAACAGCATACACTGCCATGGGATCAGGGGTGTCAGTAAACAGCTTGAGAGATATTACATTTTTCTGTCTCACTTCTCACCTTCTCTTCCTCTCTTTCCCTTTTTTTTCTTATCTCCCCGTGTGCATAAATCCGCATAAATAAATTCTTCGCTAAATTCACCACCTAGTTGTAATGGTTATCACCCTTGTGATGCTACTTGTCAGTACAGTCAACTTCGCCTATAACGACACTCGGCGGGGCATCAGAAAAGTGTCCTTATTCGCGAAGTGTCGTTATACCCGAAGTCTCATTATGTGTTACAGTTGGATGGGACTTTGCTCTGGGCATAGAAATGCTGTCGTTATTCGCGAATTGTCGTTATTATCCGCAGTCGTTATTAGCGAAGTTGACTGTATATCTCTCAAGCTGTTTACTGACACCCCTGATCCCACTAGTTGAAGAAGCAAATGTATATCCTGCATGGTGCGACCCGCGCAATTCTTCACTGCCACGTTCCAGGCCAGAAAAGCCCAAGGATGGGGAGCTTACAAACTGGGATAGGGTTACCATGACAAACATGTATGGAGAAGCAGATCCCAAACCCAGGTTTTCGGATGTAACGCGGGTGGGAGAGCTCTAGAAATCGGGCTTTCAAACCCATCGGGACAAATCAATCCGAGCGTTTGTTAAAATATTTAGGGAGGAGTAACACCTAATTATGGCAAAATTCAAGAGGTAAAAACAGCCGTGATGTCACAGTCAGCCAGTGAAGCACTGTACTGTAGCTTGTGAGAAAGGTAGGGATAAATGGATCAGTACCATAAAGTGCCGTTGATCCGCCCCCTCTCTAATTGCCCCCCCCTGTCGAATTTTCTGCCTGTGAAGCGACGTCGGCGTATACACCGAAATACGATGTTGAACCGACGCATGCACTGCTGTACACAATGCGTGCGAGTGCGGGATGAAAATATGCACAATCCAGCGCATCGAGTCTGATCTTCCACGTTTGTTGTACATCATACTGCACTTGACAGCCTTGAACGAATTCCCGCCCCCTGTTGAAAACCCAGCTGGGAAGCGACATGGCATGGGGGGGGGGATCAACGGTACTTTACGGTAAGTGCAGGAAGTGTGTGAGTGTGTGAATGGATAATGTGAGGTGAGTACAAGCTACATTACACGTTGCTGGTCGACTGTGACAGGTGCTGGTTTTTACCTTTCGAATGTTTGCTGTAGTTATGTGTTACTCCGAATGTTTGCTGTTTGTCAATGTTTTCAGTTTACTTGACCGGATACACAGCGAGCGGCGTTTCCGCCTTCTCATCTAACCATACAACCACACTCTCAATAAGAAAAAAACGAGCCGTACTCACTTCGCTTCTTGAGCCATGCCCGTATGATGCCCAAACTAGGAAAGGAAAACACATACATGCACAGACACACACACACACACACACACACACACACACACACACACACACACACACACACACACACACACACACACAAAACACGTACAAAGATTGAAAAAATATGTAAAAAAATTCACGGTTCGCGTGAGACTCGGCTAGAAGCCGAGTTTTCCGCATCCGCAGGAACGCCGCCACCCTCTAGGATCAAGGTGCAGATGCAGCTCCTAAGCGGTGGGAGGTGAGTAGATCAGACCCACCACAAATTGGTCAAAGACCGAAATCCCATCCGCTGCATCCAATGTATAAAGATAATAATTATGTGAAAAGAAAGTGCCCGAACTCGCAGAACAAGTTGACACCACAGAGTCCAAGCAGGCGCAACACAGATAACGAAATGAAAATTTATGACTGCGAAAGGTTGATGGAATGGTAGATCCCGCCGAGGGCTGGGGGACCCGGATCGTCGAGTTCCACACTCTTGGTTATGCACTCTTGCCGATAGGGAAAGGGGAAAAAATTACTTAGTACACGTAGACCTCTGGTCGGCGGAGCTTAATTAATGGGCCCCACCACCACACTCCATTATCCACCCCAGTGTCTGGAGATATGTGGATTTTGTAGAAAAGAAAAGAAAACGAGATACTTTGTACAGACGGCTCGCCTCACGCACCTCTGAACCAGGCTCGGACGCCGGTCTACAACACGTCAACACCGTTCAAAGTCATTTTACGAGTACGACCCTGCATCGGGCATGCCAGTGGCCTGGCGCAAGCGAAACTTCCTATTAAGCTGGTTGTGTCTGCCAACACAATTGTATAGGCGATGGTAACGCGGATGTGCGAGCTCTACTTTTTCCCAATCACATGTACTCTACTGCATAACTGCTCTTTTTACTGTGACTTGTTGCATAGATCCTCATGACGGCTAGTGGCATGTCGCTAAATTGGCAGATGTGGCAACATAGCGCACCAACACACGAACGCACGCCCCCCGCCCCCCCCCCCCCCCCCCCCACACACACACACACAGAGCCAGGCAAACCTACGTGATGACTCGGACACGGGACTTTATCTCCAGGTGGGTTGGCTTGATGCCGCAGGAGCGGTGGCGGTAGAGCCCATCCGTCATTGAGACCACCGGTGCCCTCGGCCAATGTAAAACACTGTCACCAGCAATGGACGCGACAGGCACTGACACATTGACACTGGAACTGGCGACTGCCACGTGCTCGGTTTGAGAGCGATCGTTGAACGTCTGCCTCTCCAAAGATACCTGATGACCCGCAGGCACCCACATCAAACAACAACAACAACAACCGTGGCGAGTCGCCATCGTGAGAGTAAATAATAATAAAAATGATAATAACAACAACTCGGATGTTGAGCCAATAATAAATATAGAAAGGAAAAGGACATATGGATACGAGTTTTAAAAGAGTAACTGATCATAATTAAACGGTTATACCGGATAACCGGTTATCCGACCGCTAGAATTCAATGATTACGAAACCGTTAAGCTTGCGGATACAAACGGGTTTTTCATGCATATGTATACTGTCATAGTGCATGGTGTACAGCACCAATGTTAGCACCATAATGCAGGATAGCCGGTCACTTTCCTTTTCACTCTTGGCAGGAGCTTGGGTTTGGAGAAGGATGTAGCCATGGCTACTGTCATGTTGTGGATCCAGTGGGAAGGAAATCCTAGAATTTTAGCTCGGCACTGAAGACGAAACCGTCTTCATCGCCATAGCTCGGCACTGAAGACGAAACCGTCTTCATCGCCAATAACCGGGTACAACCGGTTATCCGAACGTTACTTTAAGTTAAAGAAAGTGCAACAAGTAGGCATGAAACTGAAAGAGTACTGAGACATTCGACGTCCTGACACCTAGCTTCAACACATCTCCATAGTGCTAACCAACAGCCCTCCAACTCGGAAGGTTCAAGCTAGGTGTCAGGACGTCGAATGTCTCAGTACTCTGTCAGTTTTGTGCCTAGTTGTTGCACTTTCTGACTGTATAACGTATCTAGTTACAGTGGTGGACAGTTAGTCTTAGCTCGTATCCACATGTCCTTTTCCTTTCTACACCAACAACAACAACAACGACGATGACGACGACGACGACGACGACAACAACAACAACAACAACAACAACAATATTGGCGATGGTGCCATCGTGAGAATAAAGAATTCAAAAACAGTCTCTATTGGCCACTGGCTATCATGAGATTGAAGATCTGAAACAACAACAACATTAACGTGAGAATAAGTGTGTGTGTGTGTGTGTATGTGTGTGCTGTCTATATTGGGTACCCCAGCAAGTGTAGGGTGTGCATAGGTAACTGTTTTGGCCGTCCTATTCCGATGTACTCCGTGTGGTGTAGACCAGGTGTGCATTGGGGGGTCGATTCACATGGCTTCGCCAGTTGTGTGGATTAGACAGTTACCGTAAAGTCTTGTATAAAAGCCGCGGCTTCTATGACTTTCTTGGTGACATTTTGCAGGCTTCTATATAAGACAGGTATTTCTATGTATGTCAACACTAAAACCAGGCTTATGTGTGATTTGATGGGCCCAAAATTGCGGCTTCTATTCGAGGGTGGCTTCTATTCAAGTGCGGCTTTTATACAAGACTTTACGGTATCTGGCGCTTGTCTGAATCTGTTTCAATCAGAATCAGATCCGCTATCGTTGCTATAAAGAGAAAATCTGTGGGTGCACATCCAGTGCGTTTGCAGATTTGCGTGCTTCTCTTGCGACGGGCGTATACATGGTACATGGTGTGTGTGTGTGGCACCACAGCGCTCCACGCAGACACTTTCCATCGCACACTCGCCGCTTCTGAGAAATTGCGAACATTTATCTACACGGATACTGGGCAATCTACAGTGCATGACTGTGTACAGGTGAAACGTGATCACAAGACCTGCCAAAGCCAGTTTCTTCGCTTCTCCAGTAGGCAAAGCCCGATTTTGCCAGCGCGCGCGCGAAGCTTCGATATTTCACGGCAAAATTTTGCTGGCTCATCGTCGATATTTTGTTTCCATTTTGCCAGGCCACTCGATGTTTTTCTCCTTTTTGCTCCAATGCGAGGTCAGTGTCACGTGCGGGAAAACTGACCGAAAGTGGGTCACATATTGGCAAAGATGAGAAAAAAGTGAGTCCCGTGTTGGCAAAAGTATGCGAAAATGAGTCACGTGCACCGTATAAGTGTAAAATCTCTCAAGTTCCGAGGAACATACCGATATTCTGCTCCGTTTTGCCACAAATTCCCTTGTCAAAATTCTTCGATATTTTCCTAGCAGAGTTGCAAGCAAAATCGGGCTACGTCTAACCTCCGGTGCCTAACAAACGCAATACGTGTGAGAAAAACAAAGTAAAACTGCATTGGGTAAACCTGTACTTTAGCGCCCCCCCCCCCCCATATAATTATGGCACTAAGCACAACACTGATATACATTGTACAGTGTAGTCATTTTAGTGCTGAGATCACCTGAATACTACATTGTTTAGTACAAGACATCCGACGACCTGGGGGCGCTAAAGTACAGGTTTACCCTGCATTGGACGCACAGTTTACTGGAGCGCTATGCGTTTGTTAGCAACGTGGATATCATTTTCAACATTGCACAACAGTTGAAATTCAAAACAAAACAATAAAAATGATAAATTGTACAATTTACCGGAGCGCTCGTATGCATGAGCACAGCTCCACGGCAGCATCCTCCAGTGGCGGGAAGGCGGCGTGAAAGTGCTAGCAATGTAAACGCCATTGAGCCCTGTGGCACAGGAGCGCTGTCTCTCAACCCACAAATCGATTAGCTTCTTGGCTTCTACAACTAGAAAATGCAATCTATTTTTTTAATCTGTTTTTTTGAAGGTTCATCTGGTTTGCTGTTCGACTCTCGAGGAAATCGTCAAATACGAGTCCCAGTTAACGTTTTTGTAGGATTTCACATTGCAACCCTGTAAAATCCAGAAGGTTTAGGGTTGACCGGGCCCGGGGCGCGGGAGAAAGTTTCTGACAGGTCTCGTGACCCAATGTGAAAAGAAGAAGCAAATGAACCGGTGAACTGTGAACGGACGAGCAAAAACTCAACAGTCAAAAGTCGAAGTCAAAATATTCAGAGCAGCTGGATCAGCCTGCATGGCAAGTGTTACCTTTGAGTTTGAGACTTTGTATTCTAGATTTGTAGATATCTGTGCTCGATATCTGGGCTTCTCTGAACGAAATGAAGCTGTGTAGTCCTCTCTAAGAAAAGTAGCTATGGAAGTGTGTCGAGTTACATGAAGACTGCCTTTTTATTTGTAGTTTTTGTTCTCTGAAGAGCAACTTTGCTCTGTCCATAATTTCCCTGCACTCTGTCAGCTTTTCTGGAGATGGCTGCTTGTCATGGCGACATCGTGTGCCTGAACGTCGGAGGAACCAGGTACGAAGTGGGCGCTGTGCTCAAGACTGTAAAGTTCTGAGATCCGAAATTTCTGGACGATTTTGTACAACTGCAAGGATCGTACTATTAATTATGCTTGTTCGATTTTGAATCCTTATGGCTGTGGTGCAGCTTTTGCACGTCGCGAAAAACTCTCTTGTCTACGGAAAACACATTCTTCTCCAGGTGAGAGCATAGGGATTTGTATTCTAAATCGCTTCTCGCAAGCACGACATTGTTGTAAATGTCAGTGATTATTTATTTTTGCTACATGTACTGCCTTGCACTCTCGCTGGTATGCACGACGGATATACAAATGCAACAGTTACTCACGTGCTCAGGCATTACCGAATCTGGCATGAGCCACTCGCACTGCACAATGCATACTGTAGGTGAGTGCACAGTCATGCTAACTTCAAGCAAGAGTACATACCCCCCCCTCAAGAGTGTGCAACTCGCCTTCTCTGCTGTCGGTCGCCGAAGGCATGGCATTGTATGAAAAACCATACACACACCATCCTCAATTAAAGTGGTCTCTTTTGTGCACATTTTTAAGAAATGTTTTGGCATTGTGTTAAAAAAAAGTGGTCCGGCCAAACCCGGACGGCTGCTTCGCCCCTGCTGCTATGGAGCAAGAATCCTACATGGTCACTCAGGCAGCAGACAAGTTCAAATTCAGGGAGTAGTAAAATACCCACTCCCTGGTTCAAATTCGAATACACCTACCAGCAAGAGTACATAAACCAGAGTGTGCAACTCGGGATGGTTCCTGTGGGAGCGTAATTCGTGCACTACGTCATTTCTGACAGCATGGTAAGCCACAGGTACGGTGAAAAGTTGCGTAACCAGTCGCGGTGGTGCAGGTCACTGAGTTTGTCCTGATTTCGGTTTTTTTGATACGGATAGCCTGGTGATTTTACTTGTCGGTGGATGTACGGAGCGTACACAGTCACACAAAAACACCGAAATACTGAAACTGGACGTCTAAAATCAAGCAAACTTGGCTGATTTCCGGGCTATGAAACATGAAAATTTGAGCTGTACGCAAGTCGCGGCTTGGCTGACCTCATCAGGGTGATGTAGTGCACGAACTGCGCTGTTTCAGATCTGATATGCACAGTTGCACACTCTGGTTTATGTACTCGTGCTACCAGTTTCAGTTGCATGTCGTAGCTTCATCGGTGGATGAATAAGGTTCCACCAGTAGACCAGGCAACTGGATTTAGGTTGAAGTGGATACATGTATGCGCGAAGTCCGCAAGTCCGTATTCACGCATGCACACATAGTGATTGATAGTTTTGCCTCTTCTTCTTGCTTCTTCTTTTTGTGACTTTTTCCTTGCCGGATTTCGTCCCAGTCTGCTGAGCGGCCGTCACAACTCCGCCAGGGATGCCACAGGAGCTGTGAGTGTACTAGGGATACAGTCAGACCTCTTTTATCCGGATCCCTCGCCATCCGGAAGAAAATAGCTGGTTACAGATTTGCAGCATACGGGATGCATCCAACATAACCAGTGTTCGGTTCCCTCGCCCATCCGGAATTTTTTTTGTGGAAAACGGATTTGTGCGGTTATGCGAGGTCTGACTGACTATGTACTGTATACTTGTGCCAGCTCAATCAAGAGTAAATAAGCTCCCACGGGTGTGCAATTCTGCATGTGAGGTCTCCGGCGGCGGCGAAGCACACACTGTGTTTCAGATAGCGTACTCGCGCGATTAGAGCCCTCTCGTGAATAGTGCCCTATCTCGAATACTGCCCCAGTCTCTAAGAGCCAGTGAAAAAATAAAGCCCTCTCTTGAATAGTGCCCCCCCCCCCCCGAGCTTGTAACCAAGCGCATGTGCAAGTTTGGAGTTCTTTTGCTAATGTTCTTGTGCATGTCATTGAACGGGTAGTTTCAGGATCAAAATCGTAGTTCTTGTTGCCATTTTTGTTCAGTCGTGTTAGTTTACAGTAAACTTTAGGCTCTGTTTTGCTTTGTTTTATGCTGGATGACACAAGTGCACTAACATTGAAAAAATAGTGCCATCTCTTGAATAGTGCCCTCTCTTGAATAGTGCCCCCTCTGTGATGGACATTGAAAAAAGAGTGCCCCAGGGGCACTAATCGCGCGAGTACGGTACGTTTCGTACTAGTATGTACAACGAAGGATGGCGTGCATGCAATTCGAATATCTGCCATGATCATGCCGGGGAGTTGTGTTATTTTACGAAGGAGCTCCCAATGGTCCTTGGCTTTTTACTGGGAACTGTCGGAAGAATCGTGAGCCCTCTCTCGCTGTTCCTCTGCCAGCACAACAGCAGTCCATGCTTCCGATTTACCTGCCGCCAGCTTTGAACTGTCGCACCGATATCCATACACCCTGCTGTTGTTGGCTGAACCCCAACATTGAACTATATATAGCTCGCGCCCAAACGAAGTCAATGAGGCTTTCAGTGTGCTTGCGGGAACAGCATTGTTACCGCCTCTGCGAGGTGGCACTGCAATATTGTATTTTATTCCCGTAGCTATGCAGAAGACGTTACTTCAGTAACGTCTGGCGCTAGCCAGGGTCCACACAGCTTTAATTCCCGTAGCTATGCAGAAGACGTTACTTCAGTAACGTCTGGCGCTAGCCAGGGTCCACACAGCTTTAATTTGGTGTTTGTGTGTTTGTGTCACGCCTGGCGCTATCCCGTATCTGCCCCGTACCGTACCGTACCATCAAACACAGCTGGCCACATACAGCTGGCCGCAATATTCAAATAGGGCTTTCAAACGCAAGATCATAACGCGAAGCAACTTGGTAGAATGAGTATGAATGCGAAGTGTATGGGGGAATGCAAGTAGGGCGATAGTGCGGGTTCTAATCCCAGGTTATGCTAAAAAAATAGGAGAATTGAAAAATTTATAAAATCTCTATGCTTTTTTGCCTCGGTCATCAAGGCGGTAGACGGTGTCGTATTACCCTCGACCGTACCTGTCCCGTGCCTGTCCCGTACCTGTCCCGTACCGTACCGTGCTATCAAAGACGGCTGGCCACAATGCATATTCGAATAGGGCTTTCAAATGAAAGATCATAACGTGAAGCAACTTGGAAGAATTAGTTTGTATCAGGGAGTAGTACAATAATATTGTACTACTCCCTGGTTTGTATGCGAAGTGTATCGGGGGATGCATGCACGGCGATAGTGCGGGTTCGAATCCCAGGTTATGTCTTTAAAAAAAAAGGAAAATTTTATATGAATTTATAACATCCCTATGCTTTTTTTTGGCTAGGTCATCAAGGCGTAGGGCCCTGAGCTTCCAAGCTCTCTCGTTTGGTATTTGTGTGTTTGTTTGTTTGTTTGTGTCACGCCTGGCGCTATCCGTATATGACGGCAAAAAAAGCATAGGGATGTTATAAATTTTTCAATTCTCCTATTTTTCAAGCATATGCTGGGATTCGAACCCGCACTATCGCCCTACATGCATTCCCCCATACACTTCGCATTCATACCCATTCTTCCAAGTTGCTTCACGTTATGATCTTGCGTTTGAAAGCCCTATTTGAATATTGCGGGCAGCTGTATGTGGCCAACTGTGTTTGATGGTACGGTACGGTACGGGAGACGGTGTCGTACCTCGATCGTACCTGTCCCGTACCTATCCCCTACCGTACCGTGCCATCAAAGACGGCTGGCCACAATGCATATTCAAATAGGGGTTTCAAATGCAAGATCACAATGTGAAGCAACTTGGAAGAATTAGTATGTATGCGAAGTGTATCGGGGGATGCATGCAGGGCGCGCGATAGTGCGGGTTCGAATCCCAGGTTATGTCTAAAAAAAAAGGAATATTTTTAAAAAGAATTTATAACATCCCTATGCTTTTTTTTGTCTAGGTCATCAAGGCAAAAAAGCATAGCGTAGGGCCCTGAGCTTCCAAGCTCTCTCGTTTCACCATCCAATGGCAAAAGCCAATCCAAAGGAGGGGGCATTAGCCAGCCATGATATCTCTTTGCATCCATTGGCGGCCGTGTCGTTTTGTGTGCTTGCTGGTCTGCCTGTGATTTATATATTCTCAACTTGATCTTGCCTTCCAATATGCTCCAATGTAGATCTTCATCGATCGGGATGCAAGCTTATTTTCCATCATTCTTCACTATCTACGGACCAGGAAAATCGATTTAAGGTGGGTATGTTGTTATCGGCATTGCTGTTGTTGGTGGTGGTGCTGGTGGTGCTGGTGGTGCTGCTGCTGCTGCTGCTGCTGCTGCTGCTGCTGCTGTTGTTGTTGTTGCAGTTGTTGCAGTTGTTGTTGCTTGAAATCTTTTATTAGGCCATGTAAAATAATATTGATTGTTTATCGTCAGATTTTCCCGAGAAATCGGGGCGGACGGGAGGTTTTTAATTTAATTTTTTATTACTCAATCTGCGGACAGAACTGTTTCGTCCTTTGTGGACTCATCAGCGCAGCACAGAGGAAATGAGGCCGAACCTGATAGCAATGGAAATAAAAATTTCCAATCAGGCCCGAACGTACCTTGCCAGAGTGCTCAAACTGACAAGTCAGTGAGCTCTGCATAAAGCAAACAGCAAAGGCACTAATTTTTTTATTATGCATTTATGGCTGTAGGGCAGGTGTTCGCAACCCCAGAGGATAATGGAAAGTGGAACAACCAACGTTACGTAGAAAAAACGAAGAAAATCAGGCAGCTTATGATCAGTTTCACTTTTCAAGCCCATAGCAACTAAGTTATGGTTCAGTCTGTGGACTTGACCTTGGCAAATCTACGGACATGCTGATTAGAGGCTGTAGACCGCAGTATATACAGTACATTTACCAGTATTAAAAATTAAAATAATTCGGCGGGGAGGGTGAAAATTTGGGACGGGCGCGGACGATAAACAATCAATTTTTTTACTTGGCCTTATCACGCTGGCCTCTGAGCCGTTGTTGTTGTTGTTGCTTTTTGAGGCTTTTTTCGCTCTTTCTACTGACGGCTACTTTTCTACTCTCCTTTTTAAAATCATTGTTTCCTGTGTTTGTGCATTGTGTGCACAGAGGTGAATGTGTCCGGGCTGTTCGTGATGAGGCCGAATTTTACGGAATCCCCTCGCTAAGTAAGACCAAGAATGCTGCTAATGGGTGTTTGTGTTTGCTTGTGCTAAGGCTAAAATTAGTGGCGGTCAATTCATCAGCCTCGCAACCTGTTGAATGGTGTAATCCCAGCACAAGTTGCTACGTCTAACATAGCTTGCTCGCTGTCGTGGACTGGAGAAATAACAATGCGCTATCATTGCTACGCAATGGGCAAGGTCAAGGTGTGTATACAGTCAACTTTGCGTATAATGATACTTGGCGAGGCATCAGAAAAGTGTCCTTATTCGCGAAGTGTCCTTATACCCGACGTCTCATCATGTATTACAGTTAGATGGGACTTTGCTCTGGGCACGGAAATTCTGTCGTTATTCACGAATTGTCGTTACTGTATAGCAGGAAATTTTCGGACGGAATTTATTTTCGTACGATTTCGTACACGGCCTCTTTTGTACTAAAATTAATTCCGTACTAAGATTTGTTCATGTGAAATTATGTACACTATACATGCATACTCCTTGCAAACACGTGTATTTAGCATGCAGCACTGTACGAAAATATAATCCGTATGAAAGGTCGGAATTTGGCTTTGTCCAAATATTTCCTGCTACACAGTACATCCACAGTCGTTATTAGCGAAGTTGACTGTATGTGTATGTGTTGCTGTTTTGTGTTGTCTTATGCAGCAAAGGCTCTTCATCTGGTTGAGGAGCAGAGTAATTCGTCTTGCGGTGGACTGTTCTTCACTGGCTTCATCAACCCTCCGACAGTTCGCCATGAACGTGGGGCACTTCAGAGTAAGTAGTTTCTTGTTTTCTCTTTTTTTTTGTGTTTGGAGCTGTGATCGGGTCTTGGCTGCTTTGCTTAGTCGAGGATGCTGGCATTCCGCTTGCTCATGATCCTGTTCATATTTGTGTGCGTCTTCTATGCCTTTGTCTCATTCTTCTCTGGGTTTTTGCTCTATTTCTCTCTCGCGCGCATGCGCATACGCGCGCGCGCGCACACACACACACACACACACACACACACACCATACACACACACACACACACACACACTCTCTCTCTCTCTCTCACACACACACACACTCTCTCTCTCTCACACACACACACACTCTCTCTCTCTCTCTCTCTCTCTCTCTCTCTCTCTCTCGCTCTCTCTTTCTCTCTCACACACTCACGCCCTCTTTTTTCTCTCCTTTTATGTGTGTGTGTGTGTGTGTGTGTGTGTGTGTGCGCGTGCATGTATGCGTATATGTGTGTGTGCGCGCGTGTGTGTGTGTGTGTGTGTGTGTGTGTGTGTGTGTGTGTGTGTGTGCATGCATGTGTGTACGTGTGCGCACGTATATGTGTGCGCACGTATGTGTGTGTGTATGACTCTGTGCTTGTCTAGTTCCGGCCGGTATGGACAACCCTGTCCTACTCATCACAGGTCATCAGAACTACCTGGCTGTAGCGTACCGACACTACATCTGTGTGCACAGGTAAGTGTACTAACTTCCCCACTGTCTTGTATATACGCCTTTCTCATAGGCTGTGTTTACATGAGAGTTTTCAACCCGGGTTGAGTTCGACCCGGGTCAGATTTCAACCCGCCATGTACACAAAATGAATGGTGCGTTTACATGACGCATTGCACTTGACCCGGGTTGAAATCAACCCGGGCAAGAAATCGTACTAACGTACTGTCGCGGACATGGAAATCCAGTCGATTGTCCGGGGCCGGCGCCCTCAGCGCGTACAGAACGCAAGTCGTTGCATGCAGTGCACATGTTGATCCGATGCTACCAGCCACAGCGCATAATTATACAAGTACGTGCTACGGCTGCATGGCCAGCGCCGTGGGGCCGCTAGACGTGTGACCGGATTTCCGTGTCCACGGCAGTACTTCTGTGCGTATCTCGCGCCAGGTTTGAATAGCACTGCGCATGCAAATTTCGCGCGAAAGTATTCACTTGACCATACAGAACTCTAAAAGTGGACTTTTGGCGGCGTATCAGTATTTGACCCGGGTCAACTGTCTTCATGTAAGCGCTCACCTATTTTGTCTATCGTACAGACTTTCAACCCGGGCTGAACTCGACCCGGGTTGAAAATTCTTATGTAAACGCAGCCATACAGAAGCCTGTTTGGAATACACGCCTGATTTTCCAGGCATACCGTCGGCACATGACCCTGGTTTTGTTTCGACTTACATAGAGAACTTGGTTTTCAGTACACGCCTGATTCTAATGGAAGCCTTGCCCTGATATCAGATGATACAGGACTAAGACGCGACATTACGGCATACAGATAAAAGCTGAACCTCGCGGCTCTCTCTCTCTCTCACTCTGTGTGTGTGTGTGTGTGTGTGTGTGTGTGTGTCTCTCTCTCTCTCTCTCTCTCTCTCTCTCTCTCTCTCTTTCTCTCTCTCTCTCTCTCTCTCTCTCTCTCTCTTTCTCTCTCTCTCTCTCTCTCTCTCTCTCTCTCTCTCTCTTTCTCTCTCTCTCTCTTTCTCTCTCTCTCTCTTTCTCTCTCTCTCTCTCTCTCTCTCTCTCTCTCTCTCTCTCTCTCTCTCTCTTTCTCTCTCTCTCTCTCTCTTTCTCCACCATGTATTGTATAGGTTAATGAATGCGGTTGGTTGGGAGCATGTCTTCACTTCGCCTGTGTTACCCCAAGCGCCCGGGCAGATGGCACTGAACGTCAAGTCGAGCAGCGGACGACGACGATTGCTTGCGGCAGCGTCAGGTACGGAGTGTGCTGTGTATGTATGGATTTTTGTGTGCTGTCGTTTCGAGATGACGCTTATCTACATTTGAACTCGGTGAAATCCGACCCAAATTGCTAAACTGACGTCCTGTACCAGTTCTGATTACGTTATTGTATCTGGACATGTGTACGTCCAGCCGCATTCGTGCCACTTCCAGGGCGTCAGGGGCCGTTTCAATGGAGGTCGCCGAATATGCACTCTGGGTTGGATTTCACTAAGCGCAACTGTAGTTGTGGTCTGCTTGTGTTATGTGGATTGGGGTGGCATGTTCTCTGGATTCTGGTGATCAACACATGCACGATATCGGATCAAGAGTTCAAAAAGAAGAGTATGCTACTGTGCTATCCTTTCTATGGGTCAGATGCTCACTGCTCTGCCTTCATTACACTATGCAGCTCCACCCACGCACCCACTGGGAAATTCCCAGTACACAGTCCACGTGATTTCTTTACGCGAACGTAGAGCAGAACAGGTTTCCTTTACGTTACGGGAACGCGAAGAGAGTTCCCGGGATTCTCCGCATCGCGTTCCCGTAACGTAGAGCAGAACATCTCTACTAGCCATTAAACTGTATCAGTAAACATGTGTGAGCCTGGGGAGGTGCCTACGTCGATCTAAATAAGTGATGTCGTACTCTGGCTTTGCCTGCTTATCCCAGGTGGAATAACGACCGTCTGGGATGTCACGCCGGCGGACGGTGAATCATCTCTCATCAGTAAGTGCTCTGCCAGCGGTGTGTTGGTCTTGTCTGCGCATGCTGATTGGGGTCGTAACTGTTGGTCTTGTCTGCGCATGCTGATTGGGGTCGTAACTGTTGGTCTTGTCTGCGCATGCTGATTGGGGTCGTAACTGTTGGTCTTGTCTTGCCACCGCGCCTGCTACTTGCGCTGTAGTCGTCGACGCACACACGCATACACACACACGCATACACACACACGCACACACACACACACACACACACACACACACACACACACACACACACACACACACAAAACACACGCACACATGTTCGCCAGATGTCTGCAAGGTCGCCACTACGTGTTCCAACTGAGTTCTTGTCGATTGGCAGTGGACGACTGGACACATATTGATCTGATTGCATCTCTTTGAGTTTTAGCATGTTTTGACTGTTCTACCTGGGAAGATGAGAGTGTTGCTGTCAATGGACACAAGACAAGTACAATGGTCCTCTTCTATCCACCAGTGTTTGTATTGGATGTGTGTCGGAAGTTCTCCTCCGTTAGGGCTTGTGCTAGATTAGCTAATCTGGATTATTGTGGTAGTGGTCGTGAAGGGGACATTTCAGTCCATCCATTCATTCATTTATTTCTGTGTGCGTGTGTGTGTGTGTATGTGTGTGTGTGTGTATGTGTGTGTGTGTGTGTGCATGTGTGGGTGTGTGTACATGTGTGTGCATGTGTGTGTGTGTGTGTGTGCGCGCGCACACGTGTGCATGCTTGCCCCACAGCCTCGCATACGTTCAACGCGCCCGTGGACGTGCTGTTCTTCATCGGCACTCAGCTAGTTGTGATGAGCTACCTTGGTGAAGTATCCGTGTGGAACGCCGTCACACAGCAGTGGAAGGTACAAACTATTATTGTCTTTCTTTGCAGTCATGTCTGCTGTATACCATCGACTCCACTTATTCCAAACTCGCGTGTAGCGAGTTTCGTGATATAGCGAACCCTTGTCCACGTCCCTGTTTGAACACATAAAAAAAATTGAGCCTTTATATCGATCCGTTTTCGTTTATAACGAACCATATCTTGAAGGGCCGCATGTAAACCAAGTGCACGTATACAGTCATGGACCACATGTCAGTCCTTACTTGCTGCTTGCAATGTGTAAGTGCGTGTCGGTTATAAGGACTTCGGCTATAAAGAACTAATTCTCCTGCACAATGGTGTTCGTCATATCAGGAGTCGACTGTACTCACAAGCCATCTGCCCCCCCCCCCCCCCCCCCCTCATATCTACATACATGCAGATTCCAGAGCTCCTGACTTGTTCATCCCCAGTGACACTTGTACTTGTGGTATACACACAGTAAACAGGAAATTAATTCAGAAATTGTGTTGCTGTGTATGATTTTTAAAACGTACATCTCCTGAATCGTACATGTTCAAAAATGCACTCACTTCATGACTCTCTATAAAGCTTTTAAAATTTATTTTCTTGTGTACTCGCTTGTTTAGGTCCAGATGATGGCCCCCATTGCCAGCCACGCCACCGTCAACTCCACCATGTTACTGGGATGTGCTAACGGCTCAATCTACTACATAGGTAAGTTTGTGCTGTCATCTCTGTGTGTGTGTGTGTGTGTGTGTGCGTGCGTGCGTGCACATGTGTATGTGTGCGCGCGCGTGCGCGCGCGCGCGAAGGCACCGACTCCATTCACAGTTCACAGTTCATTAAACCATTGTTCTAGTGCTGGGGTTTCGAAAGCCTCTTTTTCTTCTTCTCTTCCTGCCGTCCGTGCTCCAATCTTCTGGGATTGCATATGAACTGCTCAGCAGGCTAGTTAGTACTCTGTCCAGTTCACTGGCCGACCTTTTCGCTGCTTGGCTTGCGTCTTCTCCTGCAGATATGGAGAAGTTTCCGTTGCGCATGAAGGACAACGACCTTCTTGTCACCCAGGTGTATGAAGACCCGGCCAAAGAGGCTGTCACAGCACTCAGTGTCTACTTCACCAAAGCACGTGAGTCAGCGGACACATTCAATATTCTCAGACCATTCATTCGTTCATTCACTCATATTTTTATTTCAAGGATTCTCCACATGTAAACAGATACTCTATCAGGGCAGTTTCCTGGAAGGATGGATGGGGTAAAAGGAACCATGTTTGTGATTTCATAGGTGCCAAACATTTTACGTTTTTCAACAAAAAAAATGTTTGTGATTTTACACTCATGTATGTACATGATTGTGGTGCTGGTAGCAAGTCAGTTGTTAGTTGTTGGCAGGGAGTCGTCAAATACCAGGTATTTGACGACTCCCTGGTTGTTGGACTGTCTGTTAGTACCTGAATTGCAGTATTTGGCTGTCGCTCACACAAAACCACACACACCCGAGTCTGGTGGAGGTGGTAGTGCCCAATTTTCAATCCTGATACTGTTCAGAACACTCATATATGGAGAACACTGGGGAGAACTCTCAAGATTCACTGTTGGTGTGTTGGGTAGGGATTGTGCTTGGGAGACGAGAGGTTGCGGGTACGAATCTCACCTGAAGTTGGAAATTTTCCTTTCAGAAATTTCTTTGAATGCGTCTATCTTCTCACGGCTGTTTGGCTATTGTCCATGCCGAAATGGTCAGTTTCAATGGGCGCAACATTAAAGTCGCTGAGTTGTCGCTAACACTGTGAGAGGTCATTCGTGGCCTTGTTGAACAGAGTTTGATAGTAGACTTGGCACAATTTTCTTTTTTTTCTTCTTTTTTTCTTTCAATACTTCTCCAGCTGGATGACATGCTGCTTGTAGAACCTTGCAGTCGGCATCCAAAGTGCTTTGACTGCTCCTCATACTCTTATTGAATTTTTTTAGTTTAGATTATACGATCGATTATCACTTTTATCAGCATTAAAACTGCAAGAAGCACCCACAATAGCTGTTCGCTTTGCTCCATGCTGAAAAGAATGATGTTTGAGCTTGTCACCAGTCGGGAGAGATAATATTAAAATATGCTTGTGGTTATGACGATACATAGCTTGCTTCCTATTCCCAGCTTGTCCATGGCACTCGCTGTGTGTGTGTGTTTTTCTTCTTCTCAGAAATCCGCAACTGCACCGCTAACTCCCTGGAGATTGCGTACGGGACGAATAACGGAAATGTGCGTGTGATCGCCGATCATCCCGAGACGCTGGGGCGCGGCTTTCAACTACTGCAGACCTTCACCGTGCACCGCAGTCCGATCACGCGCGTGTGCCTGACCGAGAGGTATCTTGCATCAGGTGAGACAATGACGGCATGATTTTTAATATGTTGCACAAGAAGGATCCACGAGCAGGATTCGAACCCAGCACGCCTGTCTTTCCGGGACAGTGCTCTGCGGATTAGGCTACTGGGGATCACACACCCGTGGCTCCTTCTTGCTAGAAATAGATTGAAATGATCGAGCTGCCTGTCGTTGCTATGGTTACTGACTGGCTACTTTGTACGAAGACATTTTTGCCAGAAGATTGGAGACTTTTGAGTGGGTAGCCAAGCCTATGTGTGTGTGTCTTCTGTGTGTGTGTGTGTGTGTCATGAGCGGAAAGGCTCGTGGAAACTATGCACGAGTCTGGCTACATCAGCCATGACCATGTCAGTGACTGTCTGTCGGTTTCCACTGGCACTCCCTATGCATATCATCCTTATGCTCCTTTTCGTTCATATTTCGTTGTATTTGCTTATTACTGCTTGTCTCGTCGTTCTTCTCACAGTGTGCTCCGAGTACAATCATGTACGCACTTGGACGGTGACCCGTTTCCGTGGCAACTTGAGCACGCAAACGTTTCCTGCGCCGCTGGCATCGTTTCATGTTCTCTCTTTGGAGATGGGTATGGACAGTCTAACACCTAGCTCTAATGAGATCGGTAAGAACTCGGGTCCGTGTGGAAAGCCTCATGTATACCAGGCAGTGTGTGCTGGCCCTTCCTTGGAATGCTAGTTGAAACTTTCTCGGTCTGCCCTGTCGGTGTCTCTCTCTCTCCATCCATCTCTTTCCTTCACTATCTCTCTATCTGTCTCTCTCTCTCTCTCTCTCTCTCTCTCTCTCTCTCTCTCTCTCTCTCTCTCTCTCTCCCTCTCTCTCCTCTCTCTCTCTCTCTCTCTCTCTCTCTCTTCTCTCTCTCTCTCTCTCTCTCTCTCTGCCCTGTGCAGCACAATGTTGGTTGTTTTCATCCATTACTTGTTTCCTACTCAGGTAAACTACCCATGTTCAAAACAAGTTTTTCTTTGTTTCTTGTCCTGCGGCAGGACCGTTTGGCTACCACCACAAGGAGCAGGAGGACCAGGTGTTTATACAGCGCGTGGCACCCATCACTTCGGAGCTCTACTGTCGACTGGCAGCAACCGGACAACGGTAAGACCATGTTGTGCGTGACAAGCAACTGGGTATGAGTGCGTGTACCTGCTCTGCTAGTCGGAGTGTACTTCGCACGTACATATCTGAAATTCAGCACTTTTTAGTAGCGTATTCACCCACATACAAGTGCACATCCTTATGTGCGAGAAAATGCTTTTTTTCAATTTTGCCAGGAATCAGGAATCTCTCTGTCTCTCCCTCTCTCTCTTCTTTCTAATGCGACATCCGTAAATGTGGTACCGGGGAGCTGAACAAGAAGCTGCCCCCCCCCCCAGACACACAGACAGCATGCACATACACACACACACACACACACACACACACACACACACACACACACACACACACACCACCACCACCTCATCTCATTGCCTTGTATCCGTTATTGGTGTGCACCCGTGCAGAGTGTGTGTCTTGCGCTCAGTAGATGACTCTTACATCTCCGCACACTGTGTGGTGGATTTTGACGCCAGCAACCGAAGCGCCTCCTGCGAACGTTCGTACATCTTCACCGGCCATGCGAATGGTGCAGTACAGGTAGGATTCTGTTTCCAATTGCAGTCGAGTTTGTCTAGATAGAGCATTGTAACAGCAAACTATAGCCATAGAGGAACTGTCGATCGTCTCGTTATTGACTGTCAATGTATGGATAAGAATGTGTCATGATGGGCGAATTTTATCTGTCTCTTGAGTTCTCTTCGTTTTCTTTGTACGTGAAGCTTGACTGCACTGTTTTCCATGTACAATCGCCAACATGTTGTAGCCAATCTGAGCAATGATGGAACATGACTCTGTGTATACGATTGCATTTTCTAGTTGTGTAGGCTAGCTTTGCAGAGCTATTGATCTTTTGGTCAAACGTGGATGTGTATAATTTATCTTTTCAGTTCTTGCAATCGTTTGCTCCTGTTCTCATCCTTGTTCCGGTGTTGTGTTTCCGTGGTCTCTCTCTCTCTCTCTTTCTCTCTCTTTCGCTCTCTCTCTCTCTCTCTCTCTCTCTCTCTCTCTCTCGCTCTCTCTCTCTCTCTCTCTCTCTCTCTCTCTCTCTCTCTCTCTGTGTGTGTGTGTGTGTGTGTGTGTGTGTGTGTGTGTGTGTGTCTCTCTCTCTCTCTCTCTCTCTCTCTCTCTCTCTCTCTCTCTCTCTCTCTCTGTCTCTCTCTCTCTCTCTCTCTCTCTCTCTCTCTCTCTCTCTCTCTGTCTCTCTCTCTGTCTCTCTCTCTCTCTCTCTCTCTCTCTCTCTCTCTCTCTCTCTCTCTCTCTCTCTCTCTCTCTCTCTCTCTCTCTCTCTCTCTCTCTCTCTCTCTCTCTCTCTCTCTCTTTCCGTGTGTATGTATGTGTCATCCCGTATAACAACCCGTGCAGATGTGGGACTTGACCACAGCGTATGAGCTAACACGAGCTGGGCGAGGTGAGCAGAGCGTTGTCTCTTCTGTGCACATTTTAAATGGGGCTTGGCCTCGCTACGTCACGGCCAGTGTGTGTGTATGGGGGGGGGGGGGGGGGGGGGGGGTCCTATCCAGTGTGAAAGTGCGTGGATGTTTGTGTGCGAAGCCCAAGCTCCTTTCTTGAACCGACGCCGTTTGCTTCAAGTACCAAATGAGTCCGTTTGGGAAATAATACGGAGGATTAGCAAGACGAAATTCGTGTTGGCGTTCGCAAACACTTTTCAGTTCGCGAACTGGTTTGCGAACTTTCGCATTTTTCGTTCGGAAAAGTAGTCGGAACACGAATCGCGGATTCGTGTCAGGGCAGTCATAAATAATTTACCACGCTGTACTGTCTGTACACAATGTACGTCGTGTCAACGTCATGTGATGCATGTGCTGTTTGCTAATCCTTCTCATAACGCGAATTCGGTCACTGAGTTCGACTTTCCTTGGAACGCGTACGCGAATTTCGTCTTGCTAATCCTCCGTAATGTTACACAGACAATTTTTGGATAGGGAAGCTGGGTGGGGGGGGGGGGGGAGAATTTTTGAAAGTACAACGGAGAGTTTCACAATACTTTTTCGCCCCTCGCTGACTATTGTCATGTACATGTATGTATTTGTGGTTGTCCTGTGCACAACAGCGTCCATTGCAATAGGAGCGCCGAACAGGCACGTGCCGTGCGCGCAGTCGGACGGGCCATCCAGCGCCGAGCTGCTGCAGGTGCTGGAGAAGTTCGACCTTCGCTCCGGCGACGACGAGATGTCCTCCAAGTTCTCCACGGCGAGCTCGTACCGCTCGGTGAAGCTGCAGCTGCGCGACAACCTGAGTGCACGCGTGTCGCCGAACTGGGTCACTTCGGCGACGTCGCCGCATCCGTCCATCCGCTCGATGGCCTCCGATCAGTCGGTGGCGTTCCAGGGCGGACTGCCGTCCAGCGATCTTGCCCGTGCCTTCTCAAGCCTGTCATCGCCACCGCGTGGCGCCAGTCGTGTGAACAGTCTGCCGCCGTTGCTTTCAGAGGCATCGCTGGACCATTCGCACATGAGCGTACAATCGTCCGCTGTCGGGGCAACGGCAAGCAGCACTGCAACTGCCGAAGCGATGTCCGTGCGGTCGTGCAGCTTCGATGCTTCGTGCCAGCCCGGCACCATGGCAACCGGAGCCACTGCCACCACTGCAGGCAGCATGCCATCTCCGCCAACGTCGTCGAGCTGTGCGGCCTCTGTTGATGCCCCAGCGCGCACTGGTCCTGCTACTGCTGCTGCGGTGACAACAGCGAACGGTTACAGTGCCGTTGCAGCAGCAGCATCGCGGCTGCCGGCCTTGTCCAGGTCGAAACCGCCCGTGCTGCCCAAGATGCCGGCCGCGCGGTCCGTGTCCATCAATCCGTACGCGTCGATCAGCGCGCCGTCCTCCTCCTCCGCCGTCTCCAGCAGCATTCCGCGCGTGCAGAGCGATCAGAGTGTGCCAAGCCAGCAGTCGCACGCCAGCAGCGTTGCCACCCTCTCCACCACCGGCGGCGATACCAAGTCAGCCTCGTCCTCGTCGCTCTGGAAGCCCAGTCATCGACGCAGCAAGTCTGCCAGTATTGTCCGCCACTCGTTCTTCTCCACCGAGAAACGGCACACGCCACGCGTCCTCGAGGACGTCATCAGCCTGAGCGCGAGTAACGGAAGTAGCCTGACCTCGCTCAATTCGCTCTCTCAGCAACAGCAGTGAACTGTCTACCAGCTTGAGTGTCAGCAACGGAAGTAGCCTGACCTCGCTCAATTCGCTTTCTCAGCAACAGCAGTTATCTGTCAGCCTGAGCGCCAGCAACGGAAGTAGCCTGACCTCGCCCAAGTCGTTGTCTCAGCAACAGCAGTGAACTGTTGATTGCTTGTCTCCTGATAGGTCCACCTTGCAGCAATGGCTTGTTTGCCCTACACGCTGCTGCGCAAGTGTTGTATGATACTGTGTTGCCATACCTGCCGACATGTCAGTAGCCTGCCGATTTTTGAGGCCCGTCATGACCTGCCGACAATTGACCTTCTCCTGCCGACAACGGCCATGAAAGTGTCCAAGTTTGTCCTTGTGCTTGGTTTAGAAGTCCTGGTCCAGATTTTTGGCTTTTACTGCTCATCACGAGTGTTTCCAGAGCTCTCTCCTAAGGCGCGAGGCGAATCATCAGCTGTCTGGGGAAAATTGGCAAACTCAGTCGGAGTCTCATGCAAAGCCGTGAAAGGTTTTCTTAACAGTTCCGCGCGCGCGCGCGTGTGTGTGTGTGTGTTGGGGTTACTATGAAGGAGGGGGTCCGGCGGCAAAGCCCGCGGATGATGCATTTTATTTTTTTCATCCTACTGATATTTGGCTATAATGATGTGGCAACACTGTACAGTATGTACAAGCTAGTACTATGCGTGCACGTTGCTTGCACATGCACAGCGCCTTCATCAAGTTAGACCCATCGCAAAGCCACACCGCGCTGGCCTGCTTCACGTCATGGCGCTGCGACGTCACGCGTCTTTCGCAACGACGGGTCTGCTGCCTGTGCGTGATCCTGCTACTGCTCGCATCGCTGTCCAGATAACAGCGCACGGCGCATGCACGTGTGTGTGGGGGGGGGGGGGGGGCATGCCCTCCACATGTTCATCCAACATCAATGTGATGACTACCGGATGAGCATATTGCACCCCATGCTGGCCAGGACTAGACAGGCTTGATTCTAGAACAGGCAGTCTCTGCTTTTCACCGCTTCAGTTTTATTTCGGAACCCATCCATATATCCTACGACTGCTGTATCCTGGCTCGGTACCATCAGTTTTTGTGTCATGTTTTTGAAGCCGACCACTTTTCTACTATTTATTCGTCAGATCTATCCGTGCTAACCTGTCTGGTCACGTGACTTGTTTCATTGAAACCTGACAATCTCTTGTTCACTTTTATTTTATTTTACTGGCTATTTAATTTATTTCACCATTTTATTGATGTGCAGTGCTCTGTATGGCTATTAGCGTAGTCGGTTGCAGTCGGGTGAGCCTCTGGCTGCAGCTGGTTATTCAGCACGTTTACACGTGTGTTATTCTTCAACTGTCCGTTGGGCTCTCCCCGCCCTCCCTATCCACTCTGCGGCTTGGGGCTAGAGTGCTCCGGACTTAGTTACTTCCTTCCCTACTCCGTGGCTGGTCCACTCTGCCTTTATTCATCACTTTTCATTCTAATTTATTTTTGAGCCCGTCAGCATTTTATTCTTCAGCTCTCTCTCTCAATTCTTGCTAATTGCTAGTGTCTGCAAGCAACCGCCTCAAATTAGAAGTAGTAATATTAATTTTTCAATGACGTAGCTCACTGGACTAATTCTTGTTGCTTGCCCAGTTCTGTCCGTATAGCAGGGCCCAGCAGCAGTCACAGTTGAAATACTAATGGTGAATCATGCAGAGACAGGATGAATCAGTCTTGGCGGAGATGCGCTTTATGATACGGTATGTTGTGACTCTTGTGGGGTGAAGGACAGAAGGTTCCAGTACTGTGGCTAGGTTGTTCGCACCTGCCTGCAGTGCAAGCAGTCATATTTTTTACATTGCTTTGCACCTGGGAGTCGTAAAAAAAAATTAAAAAAGCCTTCATGACTCCCTGGTGCGCAGCATGCAGGGAGTAGTACAATACTGTATTGTACTACTCCCTGCTTCTCACCGACCCACAACTGGTCGGCCGGTCCACTGCAGACAGTCCTTGATTCCACTGGCACTCCCTTTACTACTAGTATAGTAATATGCAGGGGTCTGTCCCCAGGGAAAATCGCGGAAAAAAATCCCAGAATTTGCGGTGTAATTTGCGGGTAAATATGGCATAATTTGCGGTAAATATGCGGTGAATACTATTGATATGAGGCAATTTTCAGTGAGTATGTACGACTCGTAGTGAAATCAATCAGTTAGTCTCTGGTGTAAGCACTTGTCACATTTGAGTACAAAAGCCGCCACGATGAGACGTTGCTGACAGAACAGTGCACTGCACTGTGTGTACGTGTAGTGCAACAAAAAAGTTCAAAAAACACGGGAAAACGCGGTCTTTTGAAGGGGAAGATAAGGCAAAAATCAAAATTTCACCAGTTGTAGTCTTCGGGGTGCTGAGTCGAATGGTCTTGGTCCGAGAAAACTGAGACCCTCCCTTCCTACTTGAATCCCAATCGAACTCGCGCACTTCCACCGAAACTGGGTGACTGCGCCCTACGAGATGGGGATTTGTATGCAAAATGTCACTAAAAGCGCCATTTCGTTCTTATAAAAGCACGGATGACCGCGATTGGCCCATATGTTGTAGTCTTTTGGACGCTGAGTCGACTGGTTTTGGTCCGAAAAGGCTGCGATGCAGCGTTCCTCCTTTATTCCCAATCGAACATGGTTGAACAAGCGTTCACGTGCTCCTGCGTACACCAGTCACCTGGTCACCGCGCCTGCAGGGTACAACTTACTAGCCTGTTTGACCTTTTTTGGGTGCAGTCTTGTCACTCGAGTTGAACCTTGGTGTGAAAGGTGTCGCCTGCTGGCGTGGTGACCAGGTGATTTGGGCACCCAGAAGCACGTGACCACTTGTTCAACCATGTTCGATTGGGAATACAGTGTATAGGAGGAACGCTGCATCACAGCCTTTTCGGACCAAAACCAGTTGACTCAGCGTTCAAAAGAGTACAACATATGGGTCAATCGCGGTCCTCCGTGCTTTTATAAGAACGAAATGGCGCTTTTAGTGACATTTTGCATACAAATCCCCATCTAGTAGGGCGCAGTCACCCAGTTTCGGTGGAAGGGCGCGAGTTCGATTGGGATTCAAGTAGGAAGGGAGGGTCTCAGCTTTCTCGGACCAAGACCATTCGACTCAGCACCCCGAAGACTACAACTGGTGAAATTTTGATTTTTGCCTTAACTTCCCCTTAAAAAATCGCAAAAAACGTGGCCGCGGAATCGCGATTTTCCCCGGGGACAGAAGGGTGTTAGCGGGTGTTAGCGGCCGTCGTGAGTTCCCTTCGGGAACGGACACGATCATTTTTTATTTTTTTAAATTTTTATTTACAGAAGGGTGTCGGCACCGGTGCGGCAGGTCCGGCCAAAGCTGCACCAATAGTTTCATCTTGTGAATTTTAAAGGGGAAGATGCGCTTAGATACCCTAAAATCAAATTTTCACCAGTTGTAGTCTCCGGGTTAGGAATGACTCAACCTTGCCACCAACAAGCAACTCTGGTTAGCGATCATTGACAGATGCATGCCCCCCGTATGATTTGTCTATGCGGGCAATATGCGACCTGTTCATATCATTATTATTAGTCTCCGGGGTGCCGAGTCGAATGGTCTTGGTCCGAGGAAGCTGAGACGCTCCTTTCCTCCTTTATTCCCAATCGAACCCATGCACTTCCACCGAAACTGGGTGACTGCACCCTACTAGATGGAGATTTGTATGCAAAATGCCACTAAAAGCCAAGGTTCAACCTTGAGTGACAGGAACGCTGTAAAAAGTTGTTGCCTGCAGGCACGGTGACCAGGTGACTGGTGTACGCATGAGCACGTGACCGCTTACTCACTCGTGTTCGATTGGGAATTGGGAATAAGGGCCGAACGCTGCATCGCAGCCTTTTCGGACCAAAACCAGTTGACTCAGCGTCCAACAGACTATAACATGTGGACCAATCACGGAATAAAAGAGGAAGGGAGCGTCTCAGCTTCCTGGCACCAAGACCATTCGACTCAGCATCCCGAAGACTAAAACTGGTGAATTTTTTTCATTTCTCACTACTTCAAGTACTGTCCTAGTACCGTAAAATCCCGCCAGAGCGCCCCTACCTCCTCGACGCTTCAGGTGGGGAGGGGCGGATGAGCGCGTCCTACTTGCCGCATTCAGTGCTACATGAAAAAGTACTCACCCTACGAAAACTGTACATGTACATGTACATGTACGTGCATCTCGTACACCGACCAAAGGCCAAGAGCCAGGGGTCGAACAGACACATCACAGACTGCGACAGAGTCATACGAGGATGCCGGATTTTACGGTAGTTGTATTTCAGTATTTGGGCCCAATTTCCCAGGCTAAAGTAACCGGGGGGGGGGGGGGGGGGGGCTTCGGACCCCCACTTATAGTGCCACACCAGTACCATACCATGTCGAGCACAGCTGCAGTGATGGTACGATCACCATGATCACGCGAGCACGCGCCCTGACTTGATTTTTCACGCACGCGCTAGCGTGCATGCTGAGCATGCATGGGGGCCGGGCCCGGACCGGGGCGCCGATCCGAGGACCGAGCTGGAGTAGATCGAGCAACAAGAGGCCAACAGACAGAGGAACGGCATTATTTATTTTACATCGACTGGAGGCGAGTCACATCTAGAAAATTTGCTCTTTGCCACGCGGCGGAGTGAGCAGCAAAAAGAGGAGGAACGTAGCGGCAGAAGTCTGAAACGACGTAAGTAGTTGTTGTTGTCGTTGTATACTTTATTTAGTTGTGATACCATTCCATTGGAGACGTGTTATTGTGTTTGCTGTTACCGATATACGTACAGGTACGTCTTTGACAGCGTAATTCAAGGTGCGGAGAAGTTTGAAAGCGAGAAGCCAGGAATAAGTTTCTCTTACCGTACCTAGTACCTGCAGACAGCTGAGCTAGTGGCGACGAGTGCCGGCAGAAATTCGCTACCGCACACGGCAGTGTTGGTCCCATTCATTTCTTGTGTGAGAGAATACAGACGACTGAATGAATCCGCGCTGACAGCCTTCTTCCAACAACCATGTCAGCCGCGTGACGTACATAGGTTAACGCCAGTATGTGATGTTATGAGGTCCACAGATAGCAATAATAATGACGTCCCGTCAAACTAATAGTAATACTTCGCAGAGAGTCCACGACTTTTGTGTACTACTTCTAGTCCTACAAGTACTTTGGTGAGCCGCCGTTGTAGAATCAGCAACACAGCAACGTAACGCCGTTCTTTGACAGAGCAACGCAGTGCTGCACACACATTGTCATTGTGCGTGAGTTCCAGCTGTGTTTCAATACTCTACTACTACTACCGCTGCTAGTACCAGCAGAACTACAGACATCTACCAGACATACGACCAACTCCTGACCTGGATCCAGTTCCCTTTTCCCCTGTCACTTCGGTATCGTCCCGGGATCCCGCTGTCACGGTATACCATTACTAAGTACTAAGTATTTCAACCACAGGAACGCTATTGATCCTAGTCCGCGAGACCCGTGCACGTGACACATTCTTCGCCTAGGCCTAGCGCAGCTCGAGGATGCAACGAAGTACCCAGTAGATCTACATCCAGTGCAATGCCAGGAAAAATTCACCGCACCGATTTCAGCGGCCACTCTTCAACCTAGAATACGTCTACCACAACGTAACGTCGTTACTTGCACAAGCTTGTTGTTAGTCAAACTCAAAGTCGACTGTTGTTGGTGCGTCCCCGTCGTAGCCAGTGCATTCGATCAACCGGCCGCCGTGTACACGCACTACTACCAGAGCCTCGGCAGTCGTGTTCGGCAAACATTGGACAGGTCCTCGTACCAGCCCGACTGGAAAGCGACAGCGTGTTCGATAGCTCAAGCAAACATCTGCGCAGCACGCCAGTAGCGAGCTCGTGCTGTGGATTGAAAACGTCCCGCTCCTCCATCGGCAATTATTTTACCTTCTGTAGTTCTGAGCTGAGTCTGTCTGCGCAAGACCTCGTGATCGGCAATTGACGGCGCTTCCACAGATACAGCGGACTAGGAGCAGGAAAGCACTTGGCGGCGATTTATCCAAGTAGCTAGCCCGCAGGAGAACGATACTAGCGCAGTCGATCCCAAATCGACGGCAACCACCTCTGCTTTTGATTCCTTGCGTGTCGATTTCGAGAAGTTTGGAGGCAGTCTGGTGCTTGGATTTGTGTCTGTCGCTGACCGAATCGCGCCTGGATTGAATACTCTACCCCCGGGCCTGTGATCGATACGTGACGCGAAGTGAAATTTCCTTTAGTTTCCAACTAATACTTTGACTTACACAATGGATGAGGCAGCACCAGCAGAACCCGCTGTCGTTGAAGGAGATGAAGAGGCTGCAGCACCAGCAGCACTCGCGGCACTCGCGGCAGCAGCAATGCCAGCAGCAGCACCAGCAGCACCAGCAGCAGCAGCCCCGGTGTATG